AAAGTGACCTGAGATGACATGATGTGAATTGGAGCTATAGAAATAAACTGAATTGAATTGAAAATGACCTGAAACACCTCAAGGTGAAACATTATGGTGGAAACTTCATGCAAAGTGGGATGGAGCACCTTCAAGCAAATAGTGATGTTAAAATAGCCAAGTTAAAGTCAAGATCTAAATCATACTGATGATTTAGGGCAAAACTGGACACTTTCATTTACATCAGATGAGCTTAGTCAGTTTTGCAAAGATTTATTGTAACGTTTTTAGTCTTTAGGATGCACAAAATTGGTAGTGAATACTAATCCTGTAATCTATTTATTAATTGGCGGCTTAAAACAAACAGAAGGCATACTTTCTTTTCTTTCCATTTGCAAACAAAACCCCCCCAACATGTAAAATTTCCTTTCACTTTTAGAGTTGATGCACTATTTCGTTTTGGTCTAATGCGGAACATTTTGGGGTTGCATCATGAGGAAATGTCAAAAAGTTCAATGGGTCAGACTTTTTGACACACCTATTGAGTTCACTAGTTTATAAAGCATCAGATATATGATAAACTTCATGGATATCATCTAATAAAGCAATAAAAAGTCACCTAAAGCAGGACTCTGATGTTTTTAATTTAATAACAGCATAAAAAGACATCTAAAGCTGCTAAAAAATATTAAAGTCATATGTTGTGAGGGGATTTGGCTTTAATACGGATACATGCAGAGAAAAGCGGGGAGACGGACCTCAAAGACGATGATGAATGCCAGCCTGGCAGCCAACACATGCCAGAACTGCAGGGTGAACTCGTAGGGCACCAAGCTCCAGGGCAGCGCTCTGTAGTCTCTGTACCTGCAGTATCTGACCTGGCTGTTGTTTTTCAGCTCCCACATGTCAAACACAGACAGGCTGCTGTTCATGTAGCCTTGCAGGCACCTGAGAGGACGGCAGGAAACCATCACATCTCACCTTCTGCACCTGCAGGTATATTTAAGCTGGGAACACTGAATAATGCTTACTCATCTGCATGGTGGGGCCCTTTGTCCACACAGGGGCCGTATTTGAAGGCGTAAACAAAGCGGGGGATGTAGTCCGAGGTTATAGCGATGACGAAGGCATTGGTGATGACTGCCAGGACGCCGATGCCTTCTAGAATCCCATGCCAGATACCTGTGGAAAATAAACATGTTCTAGAACTTTATTCATTATAACAAGAAGCTGCAAAGGTTAAAAACTTTAATGAGGGAGAATAAATCTTATTTTTTCAGCCGTCTGTTTGGTTCTTATTAGTGCAACAGTAATTAGTTTTAGCTAAAGGGGAGCAAAAACATAAATATGACCTGGCTGAGCTTTCCCTGTGCTGCTTTGTCTCTTTTGCAGTTAATGTGGTTTCCAACTGAGCTCTAAGCAAACCCTTTATCCTCTTTGCACAAAATGCTGCATTGCATAATAACTGAAAAAAACATTGAATAGAGAAGTAAGGCATGTCTGTGTTAAATTAGGGTCAGACTTTCAGTAAATGTGCTTTTAAACATTAATTAATTCTGGATACACTTTGCTGGTTATACACTGGAAAAAACTATCTACAAATGAGTAAAAATGTCTTAAATTAAGTGTATTTATCCTTAGTTTAATTAGGTAAATGAGATAGTTTGCCAATGGAATTAAAATTTTTACTCTTAAAATAAGATAATTAGATAATATGCACTTGAAATAAAACAATTTAATTGTGTTTTCTTATTTTAAATGTAAATTGTCTTGTTCCATCGGCAAAATGTCTCTTTTACCTCCTCAATTCAAGAACAAATGCACTTATTTAAAGAAAAAAAGACTTTTCTAGATTTCGATTTTTTCCAGTGCAAAAGAGTCAAAATGTCTTAAATTAAGTGTATTTACTCTTAATTTAAGCGCGTAAATAAGATGATCTGCCAATGGAATGAGCATTTTTTCTCTTAAAATAAGATAATTAGATAATATGCACTTTAAATAAGACAATGCAATTGTGTTTTCTTATTTTAAGTGTAAATTATCTTGCTCCTTTATCTAAATGTCTCTTTTACTTCCTCAATCCGAGAACAAATGCACATATTTTAAGAAAAAATGACTTTTCGATTTTTCTCCAGTGCAGCAGGGGGATCTGTTTGTTGCAGATCTCACACTGCAAAAAATTGAAATCTAAGTAATTTTATTTTTCTTTAAAAAAAGAGCATTTCTTTCTTGAATTAAGCAGTTAAGTGATACACTTTGCCAATGGAATAAGGCAATTTACATCTAAAATAAGAAAAAACAATTGC